CTTCAAAGTCGATTTTCTCGAAAGTTTACTGCAATCTTGTTGCACAGATCGGGGTAAAAACCAAAACTTTTACATGCTGCCACTCGAAAGCTATCATAGATGTATAGTTGGAATTGGACTGCATGTGTGCTCATATCTGTAACATTATGCAGGGTTGTGAAGGATTATTAAATTTAAACTTCATGGACCTATTAGAAAGAAGGCTTTATTCGACCAATATCTGTAAGAATTGTCGTTTGTTACGATTTGTATGTATTATATACATTTGATATCGTATGACACACAAGGATTCATCATATCAAGGGCTTTTGAAGTTCATGATGAACACAATTATTAACCAATTAAGATACCCTTAAATATTTTGCAATTTCAAACTCAATTAGCTCTTCAATTGAATATTATTCTCGTTGAAAATAACCACATTTCAAAACGCAGCCGAAGTATAACATTATCAAAGGGATATAAACGTCTAAATAGTTGTTGTTCATCTGTTCCCAATTTGTTGCAACCATCTGCAGATCTTGTTCTCCACTCCTCTATTGCCCTTCGTATAAACAATATTCATTGACAAAATAAGATTGGGGAACGAGCATTCGCCCAAGGTATCCTCCCGTTATTGCTTTTTGATATTTAATATATCAGGCTGTGTGGCAGTGTGCTTGCCAAGTCATGTTATAGAATATTCATATTAGTTACTCTACCGACCACCTGCAGGGGCGTATCAGAGAATGACAACTTTTTGTTTCACGTTTAGTATGTGCAGCCATTTGTAGAGATTATGCACCATGAAGAAGTTTACAGTTGACTAATAACAAAGTGTGTCGACAGCTGTAAATTAGTTTACAATTTCGGCCGGAATTCAAATAAGCGGCATTTGTTGCCAATTATAATTAATACCATTGGATTCCTTGACCAGGAAACATTCCAGAGAAATTAATGCCTCAGTACCCACTGGGCTTTGCAATGGTTTGCGAACCATTGGCGACGGAAATAGTGGACAATCTCAATGCTTCGCAATGGTATACGCAGAATGTTCGCCGTGCATCTGGGATGATCGCAAAGCATCACAAACCTTTTCATTTAATCGCGACAGCTTCGCAAGTGTGTGAAAAATTCAATTTTGTGTAGATGCATTCACGACGTTTTGTGCACACAAAAGCATCTGCGAAGCTATTCAGAACGTCGGCAAATATTTGCTGGTATCTCGGCGGACCATTTGTGACAATTATTATCTCATAACCCTTGGCTGTTATATCGGCGACTGAACGACGTAGTATTGCCGTACATGTACTATCTGTTACACGTCGCCACCGAACGTTTTAAGACATGTTAGAGATATTTTTATCGCTTACGTCCAATGGAACTGTTATGACGCACCGTCGTCAATTGGGTGGTTTTGCATTGTGAAACGTCGCTTGATTGTTCACATCGGCAACACCAGGTGTTAACACTAACACCAACACTTTCTGGATAAAAACCAGCATATCACTAATCACTAACACCTATCACTAACACCAACTTTGAAATCGCCCATTGGAGCTCGAGTGTTAAGCAAATTTTTTTGCAGTTTGAATCTGTGATCAGTTAGACCCAGTAAACACAAAACGTTTCCGAAACATTTTTAAAATGTTGTCCAACGATAGTGACGATCTATAAACGTTTTCTAAACATTTTGTCTTGCTTGCCACCACGCCAAAGGATGGCAAACTGCTCAACTAGATGAGTGGATTGGGACACCTTTCCCGGGAAATTTTTATGACCCTTGCAATTTTAACTGGGGCCGGCGACCCCCTCAGGATTCAACCAGTCGGTGCGGTAGTTGAGCCACAGGAAATCCTGTCATTATATAGTTTTCAAAATAATGGAACATGTGCAAGGCTACTCCATAACGCAATGGCAGATGCTTAAATAGTTCTAAAGTATGATTGGTAAAAAAAAACGCGCATCTGTCCCCTTTAAATAGCATTCAATTCATCTTAGTTATAGTTATCGATTGACTGGCAACATCTGTGACAATATCTATCGAAGGGTTGAAAGTGTGTGCTTCCTACCTTCATACTATATGGTAACAAATATAATATGCAAATCAATAGAATGAGCATGTAATTGGAAAATCCTCAAATCAGTAATAGTCTCACAATTTAGTTTTATAAATTACATTTACGGCCGAAAAATGGTTTACCCGCAGTAAAAACCGATTTAGAAATCTGATGCACTTAAAAAAAAAAGCGCTGTGCAAAATTAGACTGTCGTTTCCTTTGAAAAGGCATCTGAATGTTGTATGACTCCGTAGCCTGCATACAAAAGAAGAAACGAAACATCCAGAATTTCATCTTATACCTTGACTGTAATTGCCACCTTTCAAATATCACGGAATGCAGCCAATCATAGCCCTCGACAGACAGACAGATTACAGCCTTGTGGTTTACCGACTTTCTGATTTCTGATTTCAATTCCATCAAATCACTGCATTTACAAACGACTGCGATTGCTATTGCAGTCAAGGGTATAAGACGAAGCTCGTAAAAGCTTGACATTGTAAAGATGAATCTACATAAATACATGTCATCCGGTTGACTTTAAACAGTGTGTTTTTTTTTTATTGAGCATAGATGAATAATTACACTTAGACACCATACATGGATACATGCTGTGTAGAATCAATACTTGAACAATTTTGTATGCAATATGCAAGTTGAATTTAGCATTGATTCATTCCAAAGTGGATCTGTGGCTTTTAATTGGCTTTTAGTTTTATACTAAAGTTTTGTTATAGTATGTTGACAAAATTGTGAATTTAGGCCCTAATGTAATAAAGGCAAATTGTGCTATGCAGGGGTTTTCAACCTCTTTCTTTCTATTACCTGCAGGTTCATTGGTCAATTACACTACCCACTCTCCCTATAAATACTTACTATTGTGTAATTTTTCATGCCTAAGTATATAGGCTGACTAAATTATAAAAAAAACCTTGAGACCAACTATGAATAACGAAGGTTGAAAAGAACATGCATATTGTGCAGTACATAATAATATACTCCCTCAATTTGTCTTGCTGCGGCAAATGAAACTGTGCAGCCAGTTCAATTTTAAAATAACAAGCACAAATCATTTTTGTAAAATTTTTCCCAACAAACAACTGAACATAAGATAACAATTGAAATATATCATATACAAATATGATTTATAGCTCGCAATAGCTATAATAAAACTGAATATGACATAAAACTTTATAGTCAAAAACATTTTCAATTGAAATAAAAGTATTCATTTCCTTGAAATTCGTTTTATAAATAAAATAGATTTGCCGTTTTCGAAACGAAATCGATGGCAAGGCAAAAGCCAGCAATGTAAATGCCAACCCACAACAGTATGTTGATATTATATCCCAAATTACTGAATGTCCACCTACACCAGTACAAAATAGAACACAATGTACGGTTAGAGATGGTTAAAAGATAGACACAGAGCTCAATGTACGGTTCAAGATAGAACTTAATGTACGGTAATCAAGCCCAGCAATAAGAAAGATTTCAAAGAAATTGAGAAAGCCAACAATAATTATCTGTCTTTATTAATAATATTTCCATTTAGGGCTGTGATTCTTTGTTTTACTTAAGCAGCAGTTGATATACACCGAGTTTTATTCTCTGCCGGAACTAAATGGGATCCAAAAGTGGTTGTCTACCCTGGATATGCAATTTCTTCTGAATTCCTTCAGAATAACAAATAAGCAGCCCTTCAATATGATAAGCAATCAAAACGAATCAAAGAAAAATAAGTATATTCAAATTATCCGAAACTGGAATGTGCATTATAACATAAATAAAAAATCAACAACTTAAATAAAACATGAAATCACCGAAAATAAATAATAATAAACTAATTATGAATTTATAACAATAATTTTTAACAAATATTAAAAATATTCCATCTTTTTATATTTTTTATCATTATTTATATTATAATTTCAGACATGGTGAGGAGATGTGGTGTATATATAATTATGTTCTGATAACATCCACGGGAGGATTCTTCTAATTAAAATTCAGATCCAGATGTTTCGTGAGACTCAACTTGTTACCTAGGAAAGATTTAACGCATCACAATTAGAATTGGGTGATTAGAATATTCAATCAATTAATCAAATTTTTTCCTCAGATCATGCATTTGAAAGTTGTTACCTCCAGATAACAAGAAATATGCAACAAAACATTCAGATCTGCATTTTAATAGTATTGTTCAAGGGCAAGAGCAGACGAAAATAAATTTACTAATCTAAACTTTTTCCGAATTTGGTTAAATTTCAAAGATTTATTTGAAAATATCTGAAAATATCACAGGCAAATATGCAATTTGGATTTCTTAGATCTTTTCTCTCAATATTTTATCTAAATTGGCACACAAGCATATGACACAAAGAAAAAGGTTGAGCAACATATTTTAAGATGTACGATGAAGACTTAGTTTTCGTTTGATAATCGACATTGGTTTTGCGTATCTAAAAGCTTAAGGATGGTTGGGACTGAGATAATCCGAAACTTGCTGATTTTTATATTTGGCATCTGATAACCGTGGAACTCGTTTAACGAATAAAATAAATATGATAAAAATCAGATAGTTTCGGATTGGGAATGGGGTTAAGTAAACATCAGAGAAGATCTAATAAGTATCTAAATATGTAATTTTAAAAATAGTGGCAATTGAGAAGCAGGTCCTGACACAGAAGATACAGGGGACCTACTGTGATCGATCAATAGCAGCTTCTTTGAGACTAATTAGTTTTCGTTTAAGTTACTTGTACGTTTTTGTGAATAGGGCTTCTGATTGGTTGAAAGAAAAATGTTGGTACTGCATTTAGCTTATTTTGAGTTGCCATGTACTGGTATGATTATTATTATTATTATTATTATTATTGTCAAGTTCTACTGTACTCACAGCAGTTACGTTACAAATCAGTGTATATGCAATAGAAAATATTATATTACTTGTCGCATGTACTATGACGTTTTCTTATTTTTACTGTAATAACTACGCCACGTTTCTTGTCCAATACATATTCCAGGCCCACGCCACCATTTATCGATATTCTCGAACACAGATTGCGGGCGATTCTCATCGTGGATCAAAGCACACATACGACACCAAAAGTAAGTATTGATAAACGATCCAGTTCCTTTCCATAAAAAATATTCGTTATATAGTTTATCATTCGTATCAAGTTTATGGAGGTACTCGGCCAGTTCTTTTGGTGAGTTAAAATCATCCACGTGAATATAACTGTGAACAGGGGCTGCCCTTCTGTAATCTTCGGGAGATCCTCCCATGACTATCGGTATCACATCATGCCTGTAAATAAAAGAAATGAAAATTTATTTTATTATCACTCCCAGTCACTAAAACACTCGATTCTTTATACAGAAACAGAACGGAATGAAACAGAACATAAAATAATATAACAGAAGTGGATCAGAACAGAATGAAACAGAAATGGACAGGAAAGAGTGGAATGAAATAGAACATAGCAGTTTACAGCAGAATTTCCTCAATAAAAGTGAACGCTACCATTCTTATTTATTAAACAGGATTGAGATTTTTCCAAACCCTTTATAGTTTACTGTAAAAATTAAATGTCAAAAACAAACAGGAAAATTCAGTTGATAGAAAACCAATCTGACTATTAACTATATCCAACGGTCAAATTACCTAAACACCTGGTATAATATACACCTGTTGGGGGTGATGTAGATCGAATAAAATCAATCAATTGTCAATTAAAAGCTCTGAGACTTGGTAATGGTTATAAAAAAATATTAACTGGAATACGTAAAAATTCATTTAATTTCAATAGGCGTAACCCGGTAACATTTTAACGATTTGGGACATTATGTTTTCACAAACATATACTTTGGGTTTGACTAGAGTGTTATTTCAATTAATGTAATAAATATTGATTCCAAATCCTTGTATAATTTTTACAAATTCTATAGTGGTACAACTAATGTAATAAATGTTGTATAAGCAATAGGTCGTAATCCAAATTGTGGTTATAAAAACATGCAATATGACAGAACTTAACTGAAATAACACTAATTGTGGTGGTTTCCATTATTAAGGCCTGTAACAAGCACTGTGCAAAATGATAATGCTTGCAACGTAATACCACTATCAGAACGAGGAGAGAAGTCCTCCAAAACTTCTTTATTTGAAACTTCTGATGAAAATGATGCCACCTCTAAACTAAAATAATCGTGTAACGAGATAACTATTTCAAGAACAAATATTAATGTATATATATTATACACCTTTAAATTTCAACCCTTTGCCCTCAATACAATAAAATGATCTAAATTACAAAGCTGTTTACATACGGTGAATAAATTTCACTTGAACTTCTTATCTTTGACAGTGTCAACCATATCAATATTAAGTATTGAGGGGAGTTTCAGTAACCATAGTCTTAGTATATTCGACGGTAAAAAAAAATTCATTCGACTATTGTCACAAAATTTTTGTTGTTGAGACGTACTTTATTTCAATGTAAAAATGCAAAATTTTAAAGAGCACTCTTTCAAATTGCATGAAACACGGGATGTCAGCCCTTTTTTTCCACATTTTTTTTTCGCCCGACCCTCTTTCTGTACTGCAGGAGTCACCGTTCCATGTACGATGTAATGTTTTTATGAATATTCCAGAACTGTAAATGAGAGGACAGAACGTAATTTGTATGTTACCACATTATTTAGTAACCCTCTTATTACATTAAGAAATTCAACTTTATGGTGGAATATTTTCCATTACATTTGTAAATTAATTAAATAGTGAACACCATTCACTCGTATATCTCTCCGAAAACAAGTAACTCCCTCTCCCTCTCAAAGCCTTTGAAATATATGAGATACCAACGTGACTTACACGATTATAATACCCTTCCATATCGTTATCCGTAACCAGTCGTATCGAAATATAGACATTACTTTCATTTAATTACTGTGTTGCATTCCTATGGTTGGGTGGGTAAATTGTTACAAATGCTAAGATTTTTGTTCAGATAATGAAAAAGGGTTTGATTACACTGCAAACTGCAAAATTAATTACAACATGCCAAAAACTGAATAAAAAATTCAAGACAAAAACTTATCACATATTTTGTCAATATAACACACATTATATAGTCTGTGAGTATTGATCATAAAAGCTCATCCAACGGCAAATAGATATTACGGTATTTATAATTAATGCTAATTACAGATTATCAATATTAAAACACCAAATGGTAATTATCAATGATGGTTCATGTATAGATTCCCAAAATTCTTTCATTTCATAACAACCACTCAGATTATTCGCCTAAATATTCAAAAGATTTGGTCCACCGAACGAACCAATCCATAATATTAGAATATTTTGCGGAATACTTGATCCATGATTTGGTCGGGAGTGGCTGGATGGGCTTAAATTGACCAAAAAAATAATAACTTAATAAAAAGTTCCCGATGAATTCCACACAACTTATTGATGGGTATTGAAGGAGGAAATATAAAACAGACAATTTGATATTTTCTATATTTTGCCCTTAAAAGTCAATAATCCGTCTTAAGCTAATCTGATTATATGTATTCGATTACACATTGACCTATTTACAAACAGGGGGTGGTTGATAGCAAAAATGTTAATAAGATTTAGGTTTACAACATTAAGGGCTTTTTTTTAGACATCTAGGCAAGGCGGTGTCTCCCACTCTTCTGCAGTTTCGATGATAAAATTACAATAAATAAGCTAATAAATCCAATCCCTAACCAAATCTGGGTCGAATTTTACTGGCCGTGAACATTTCTTGCGATATCCTCAGTAGTCTCAGAATAAAGAGCCGAAAATGCACCGAGTCACCTTTAGTTGACATTCACGGTATTTAGTACCTAAACCAACAAAACACTAGCTACTTGTCGTGAAATTTGCTTTACCAACCAGCTTCAAACTCAAATCAATTAATTGACAGAAATGTTTCAAATAACAAATAACCACTTGAAAGCGTGCATCAAAACCGTAAGGAATCTTCATACAACTCATAGTGCAGTTAAAAGACATGCGTTTTTAACATAAAATGTAAAAGATCAACTTCCAAATACTACAGTAAGACACGTCAACGTTAATAAGCTTATAAGGGTAGCAAGTCAGAACAATAGAGAAACAATTTATGCTCATAACGTCAAAACAAAAAAATGATCCAGGAGAAAAATATTAACTAAGCGCATAGGAAAGTGATAATCCAACATAGCAGCAAAACAATGACTAACAACGATAGACATGTAGATGTATACAATTTTCAGATAGCACTCTAAGATCACACTGTGTTACATGCAAGATAAACTATGCTATACATAGCATAGCCAACTGTTATTCATAAATATATACATATACATATATATATTGTGCACATTATCATAGACATAATACCAAAATATTAATGGTAAAGTTTGTAAACTATGCATACAAAGAGCATAGCAGACATCACAGACATCATGTCTCTAGACTTTGTTTTCTTGCTCCAATTTCAGCGTCCATTTCGTGTCTATGCATTTAGATGGACCGACATCAGAGTTTAAATCTGAATATTAAAACTGATAAAGCATAGTACCGTATGTAGAAATATGACATATGTACTTACTGTAAGCCGTTGACAAAGAATTTCTCTGTAATGTAGTCTCGACAGTTTGAATTTTCAAACGCCAGATAAAATTTATAATCTTTGTTCAACATATCGAAACATTTTCCTGATTGGTGACGAGGGCATTTCAACGGTCCACAGCCGCCATAAATATCAACTTTAATATGTTCTGCCAGTTTGTCGGCGTATTGTCTTCGACCATTTCTTGCACCACAATTCGACACAAACCATGCAACTGTTTTTGTCTTTCCAGCTGCATAGTTTTTATTTTGTGGCTTCGTTAACTCAGATTCGTTAAAAGGTTGAAATCGTTCATAAGGCGCTACTAAAGTTGAGTCGTGTCTGTAGGTGGCTGTCCAATTAAAAACATTTTTATAGGCACTTAAACCAGGGGTATGATACGGTGATTCTAGCATGAATAACACCCATATTTGATTTAATGGACGATTGAATCGTGGACGAGATGGTGATTGACTAAATAATACAGCATCAGCATCAGCTGCCTTCTGTCTATCTGAAGATAAGATGCACCGGTTTACGGGACACTTTTGTTCGATAAACGTCTGTTGTCCACGCTTTACCTGCCAACCACCGAAACCATTATAGAGAAGTATGGTTTTCATTGGCATTTCTTCATTTGTTTTGAACTGTTTCACATTTTCAGGTATGAATTCCATTTGATTTACTATCCTATCTTGCGAATGATCGGAACTGGGATAAATTAAGTTTTTATTTCTCGGCGATTTATAGAATAAATCATTAGCTTGTGTTTGATTATAAAATAAGGGTACTGTTCCTGATTGTAAATGTCGCACGTGCTCGTGAATATTAGGTCCATTATAGTCTAGCGTACGCTTGCCCTCAACTTTGACGAAATTTACACCCCAGGGTGTGTCGCGTACTCCCTCGGCCCATTCTTCTCTTTTGTAAAAATTCAGCAATATAAGACTAAACACACTGCAGATGAATGAAAGTTGCACAATTTTTTTAAGATATAAACGCATACTTAATCCGGAGTGTCCCTGCGTTCTTTCAAACGTTGTTCTTTACAACGTATCTAAGATGACACGTTAAGGCATTGAACACAACGGCGATCTATCCGATGTAATGAGATGAAATCCTAGAATATTCTTCACAGTACTCCTCATCCACTAACTATCCTCGTGTCGGCTACTTTCATTCATCTATACTGCATTCTGCGCTCCAAATGTGTCACCTGAATGCATCGATCGCTTTATCTCAAATAAAGTTAGTTATAGTCCTATATCACAGGGTTCTCTTATGACTCGTACTAATCAGGCAAAAGTCTATATTTATATCACATTGTTCGTAATACTGGCAATTACTCCATTGACATGCACGATTACAAATCATTATTAGAACACACCATACGCGATCATAATGGGATTAATTCATTAACCCTAATTAACTTGTTCTCGTCACAAATCCACAAATGTCTTGACAACCAAGGCTAGTTTTGTTTACCTTCCCTACAATCTCGTGATAACCGCTAGTTTTCATTTAAGAAAAGAAAACATCAAGATTGCGAAGCAATATAATAGGCTATAGAGATTCGTCCGCCAATATCAAAGATAAATGTTCTCTAGATCAAATAATATGGGATCTTGGTTGAAGCTAACAATCCTCTTCATTGCTGTTACATATCCATAAGTCATTCAATTACCTGAAATATATAATATTATTTAAATCTTTAATTTAAAAATAAATATCGTCAAACGCGCACCCTCCTACACTTATTATTTTTACATGTTTTTTTCAATATGTTTTAAACCATAACCATTCCTTAAATCTTGGCATCATAAATATTACCAATATCGGTATGGAATATCAACCACTCGACATTGTCACCCAAGCCAAAGTTAGGATCGGAGTGGATCATAAATTTTCAAGTAATTGAAACCAATTTAATGAATTAAACAGATGTTACTATCAACTCAAATTGAATAATTTTAATAAAGCTATAATATTAATAGCATTGTAGCACTTTTGTCGGTTTGTGTGGCTGGGATGTTGGAATACCACCCTTACTTTCTACATTATAGGAATACAATTAGCAAGTCAAAACAACTTCGTATTTCCGGTTTGGTCGATTTGTGTGGCTGGGATTTGGAATTTAATACCACCCTTACTTTATTTCTACATAATAAAAATACAATTAGCCAGTCAAAGGACTTTGTATTTCCGGTTGGGTCGGTTTGTGTGGCTGGGATGTTCGAATTTAGTACCACCCTTCCTATATTTCTACACAATATGAATGCAATCAGTCAATCAGAGCAATTTTGTACTTTTGGTTTGGTCCGTTTGTGTGGATGTAAAAATTTAGTACCACCCTTCCAATATTTCTACATAATATACATATACAATTAGCAAGTCAGAGCAATTTTGTTCTCCTGGTTTTGTCGGTTTGTGTGGCTTGGTTATTGGAATTGAGTACCACATATTCCTTAATTTTAGATAGACCCTCCGCCACTGTTACTAAGTGAAAGCCAATCAGTAAAAAAACACTCATCCAAAAATTGTCATATTATACATGCTAAACATGTTTAACAAGAGACATGCCCTAACTCAGCCTAACTGTAAAACTATTTTAGGCAGATTGAATAAGCTGTTTAGACACCTCTATAGTAAGTTATCAACTTGATCCGTTTTATGTCACGTCCCGTCAGCTGAAACAATAGCCCTAATTTCATTGACAAACAAAATATTGCGTAAATAAATAGAAGGGAAGGGATTAAAAAAACTTAACAATAATTTCTTTAAATTTGTCCCTGTTTGGTGACATTGAAATAAGTTTTTATGTTTTGAAGTTTATAACAAGATGTTGATATATTGTATACACTCAAAACCATTTTAACGTCTCGTGAGTATAAATTGGCCACAGTGTCCAGTTGTTTTAAATTGGAAAAAATACTGTATAATTAAAACGCTTTTTGGGAACGTGTGATGTTTTATACGAAGACACGAAGTATTCGTTTACAATTGTTCTACTAAAACAAAACATTTTCTTTGCATTTTTTTTTATTGGAGACAGGTATATGATACGTTAGCATCTCGGAAAATCTTTAATTTTACCGCAAGCAAAATAATTCCTACTTCTGATGTGCTCAATTAATTCATCTTAATTTTCCAAGCCTTTTTGGTATGATCGATCAAAAATTTATTCATCTGTTTAAGGTTTACAGCAAGAAATCCGATTCATATCTGAATCCGGCTACCCCAAGCACCCAGGTAGAATTCTTATTCTGATATGCTATTGGAGAGCTAAAAATTCGCGTTATACCAGCTGACAGACAAGATCGAACTTTGAGCAAGGGAGATTTTCATGTTATAAGAAGTTTTAATACAGTCTCCCAGCTTTGTAAGCAAATTATTATAGACTGGCATCGTGTAAAGTGTTCTTTAAGAACCAAATTCAAGCTTTGTTTCAAAGACGACTACCTCTTGAATGACGATAAAGTTGAGTTTTTCAAACTTGGCCAATATGAGTATAATATCAGTAAACTTACTTAATGTCATAACCATACATAATCTCATACTGGTTCTTCAAATCCATAATAATATGGATATTACTCTTTTTCAATTATTACTTAGTGAAAAAATGGATATATAATTTATAACAGGAATTCTGTTGGATAGTTATGACACCAGGTGAGTCCACTGATGAATATATACTTTTATTGGCCGAGTTTGAGATTCCTTCAATAACCAAGGACAGATTGAGGAAATTGTTTCTAGCAAACAAGGTCAATTCTAATCACATTTATACCTGGTAGCCCAATTACTGGTTTATTTACACGTCTTTAAAGGTCAGAGGTTACCAACGTCTGTTAACGAACATACCCTCAGACGAATTAGAATTACTATAATTAAAAATATTTTTTAAAGAATTTTGAGTTTACGTTAACTGTCACGTAACATAACGATATGAACAGTTTTACTAGGGAGAAAAAAAGTAAATAAACATAGACTGAAATGCTACAACAATTTTTATACGCCGCTGCCTTTTCATTCGACCATTTTTTTTTTGCGGAGAGCAGAGATACTTTTGGTTATGTTGAATAATATGACTGGATGTAAACAGTATCAAAATGTGAAACAGTTGTATTACAACTGACACACCGACAACACTTTCGGTAACATGTTGGACAAATCATCTTGGCAACATACCTAAGCAACAAATATAAGATTTTTTGTGCATGTTTATACACATAGACCGGAACATATGCCTCTGTTTGAAAGCTATTTTTAAAGTTGTCGGCTGGTGTAGAGACAGAAAACTAAGCCTTGTTTAGTTAAGATTTAGTGCACCTCTGAAGGTTTTTTTTAACCTATTTATCTAAATCGACGACGCAAAACCCAAATATATTTGGAAATATGGATATCATGCTAGAAAAAATGCATATTCGGAGGCATGAAAAATCCCCATAAAACAGGATCTAGTTTTTCTCGAGCCTATATATATCAGATGCTATTATGGAGGCAGATGTTCCGGACAAGTAGACATACAGCTTCGATAACATGTTGGGCATATGTTGCCGAATGTTTCCAAACTCTAAATATAACAACTTTTTCAACAATATGACATTTTGTTATTGTGTAAGCATACAATACTTAAATTACGAATATTATCGTATGTTTGTAAGTAATGTAATTGGTAAAACTTTGTACTGTATATATAATGATAGGGTAGCATTGGGAGTACGCCTCTCGAGGCAAGATGCCTCATCGGGATAACTCTAAGGTTAATCATCATATGGATTTTTTTTTTTGCCTTCGTTAGTCACGTATTCCCCACCAACATCCAACCAGGTTTGTAGCTAATTTGAAGGTTTGCTGAAATTATTACAGATCATTAAACGTTTGTACCAGTTTCATCTAATATTTGGAGTGTGTGTCGAATGTTTTGATTATTGCAATTTTATTCTAAAACAATATTTATATCTGGTTTCCAGACATTGGTGTCCTTGAGACGTTTCAGTCTCACTTGTTTTAACTATTTCTTGTTTACCTGTTTACAAAACAGTTAGGGCTTTGTGGTATATCACCCTCTCATTATCATCATGACTTTCATTAATGTCCTGTATTATATTTGTATGATAGATAATATAACATTACAAAGTATAGTTAATAGTACAATTCTTGGTGAAATATATTTGTATGATATAAAGTACGATACTAACATACAATAAAGAATATTAAGATAGTCGTCTTATTATATTAATATTCCTGGCGATAAAGATTAAACAAGCCACCTGCTTGAGTTATTCAAGTGATAGCCTATTAAAAAAAATAGGCTACTAAATGCACCATATTGTGTGGACTCTACCAGCTGGTCTATGACCAACCTTTTGGCATTGATCCTTCCTAGATTGTCCATACACATTTACAGCTTGGTCCACTGGAATTATGGGCGAAGATAAATTATTCAAGGTCATCGGACTTAAGCCATCGGACTTCTTGAACACGCCGATGGAGATCGGACCCACAGCAGCAATGAGATGGGATTGGTGTTGAAGTATTTTGATAGTGGCTTTTACTTCGTAAAACTGTCGCAATTAATGCTAAGCACGATAAAAGATGGCAATGTTTTTGCCCGATTTTGATATCTTGTTTAGAACATAAATTGGCTGTCTCAAGCGATTTCATTCCTATTCAATAATATTTTAGACTTAAGACTCTCTTGAGATATATTATTTGAGTGAATATAATCAATTCATAGGACTAAAAACATCATAAATAGGATATAGGCCTACTGTATAGTAGGCTAGTTGGACATAAGGATAAGGTCCATTTTACCGCGTGTCCGTTTTGTCTCAAAGCACAATTAGACTACTAGCCTTGGGTACATACATTAGGTAGTCTGACAGATGACATAATGTCCAAAATAAACTTCAGAACAATATTGTTATACAAGTACATTTGCTTAAAATTAATCCAATAAAAATACAGCTGGAGTAAAAGATGAATTTGTTTTGTTTACCTTTATAACTTTGACTAAAGGGAAATAACCCTCAATAGGCGCGATCAATTTGTCACTTTGATAACTTCACAGACTCGCAAGACGTTAACCATCAAATGTCAACCGTTAAGATAACAATTGATCTATTTCGGAGACAGGCAACTATTGTGGCTACCATTTCAGTGTAGTCATCATTAATGTATATAGTCCTACTTCTCCTTTGGTCTAGAAAGGAGTTGTGGTCTGATTCCGATGTAACTTTTATGATTAGTTAAGAAAGGCTACTTCCTGTTTAGTTTTGTCTATTTCCTTTAAAAGCACATATGGATGATGAAAATAGTTAAAAGTTCGTTTGAGAGCTGATTATTATAAGCAGGAAGGAGCAAACATTAGTTTACAGCAGAATACATTGTTAAATATCGAAAGTAACTGTAGATATTAGTAAAATGCTGACTTTTATTTTGTGAATGTGAAACTGCTGTGTTGAATATTAGTTCCAGCTATCGAAATAATAAAAATGTGAATTTTGAAACTTTTATTTCTATATACCAATGCCCAAACGCTTGAGTTTGAGACAACTACAGGCCTAGTCTACTCACTTCAGAGATTAACATGATGGCCTAGATAGGCCCAAGCCTAAGCTATGACTACTTGGAAATAACTCTGGAAATGTTAATAACTTTGTGTTAAATTCTTCATCTTACTATTTATTTTTCAATAGGTGTTGTGGCTTAGAATCCTTCTCAAGGTAAGACAGATTCTGATGCTTGTGTCTTTCACCACTCCAACCCCCCAATACCTTACTTACTGATATAATATTTGACATTAGGGAATCAACCGAAACCGACCTCTACGACAGAATACACTCGATTGAATTACAACTTTCAGGCAAATATAATATAACCTAAAGGCACAGACACTAATTACAGCCACTTTTCTCGCTTTCTTTTTCATCAATTACGAAGAAAATGAGGAATAAATAATTAATAGTTAGTGAAGGCTACAAATTATTTAACCAGACTTAATCAAGCACCTTTACACTAATTAAAGAAGAGAAATTGCAATTTGAAACCGTTATAGAGTGAAAATAAAAGTAGCCAACATAAATTAATGGAATATATTCGCGTGTGTTTTCGTTGAAAGATAAGTCAAAGTTGGTTACCCAAAACAGTTTTGGTGTCAAGTTCATGTATATTCATTTGAATCTTGAATATATGTAAATAGTCTTCAGAAGTACTAGAAATGTACGAAAATCACACAATTCCTTCAAAAATATCTTTTCCTATTTCTATATCTGTCTTTACTATGTATCACAGAGTGTCTTAAAATGACGAGTCGTCATGTTAACATTCAAACGCGGATAACTCTGAACACACATGGATTTGAAGGCTCAAATTTGGACTACCAATTGAGACCATTAACCAACTTCAAATACAGTTCACAAATAATTACATCTGCTCAGGCACGTGCCATAATATAGGTCACATGAGACCAAATCACACGCTTAATAAAATGTCCAGTCGGGAAAATAAAAAAAATATACCTGTTCGAGTTACATACTATTATTTCCTTATTGCATTGTCGTTCATTTCATTATAAATGATATGGATATAGATTAAAATGGATATTTTACTTATTTAATTTCGTATATCTGGACTGTGACTCATGGATTACAATTTGAATATGTATGTCAACAGGTCAGTTTTTCCCTTTCCCGTATGATTCATTCAAGTATTTCAGAATCGAAATACAAGATTCATGTCCAGTGGAATTGCGAGGATTTAATTGACGGAGCGGGCATCCGTCGGCTTTCTGGATTTAATAGGGCACTTGATATGTTGGGAATCCTTGTAAAATTTATCTAATCTAGGAAGGCGGGGAATTTGTTATGGCTCCTAAATACACTACTGTCATGGCATATGCGGCATCGTTTCGTGATTTACATTTTGCATTGTTAAATTTTATAAGCAATTAGTAACAAGGATGACCGAGCTATTGCAATTATCATTCCCTTGGCTGTATCAAATTTAAAACATTAGTGTTGTTTATGAAGAGGTTTTAGTGCTTTATTTTTGACAAAATAAGAATAATAGTCTTATGCTAAGAATAAATCTTAGACCAATTATCATGACTAGTGTTCATATACTATTTGAAGCCAAGTCAATCGTGAACACAATTATAAAACAGGTTACATTTACTTAGCAAAGGACCAAGAGTCCAATATTTAGAGCGCATTATTAACGTCAATATTGGACTCATTGGCTGTTTACCAGTACCATTATGTTGGATAATGGTACGCCGAGATCAGAGAGTGACGTCATATCTATATTTTAATACTGATTAACGTAGCGTTTCTGTTTCTAACGTATGATTGGGCAAAGGAAGGGCGCATCAGTCAACAGCACGAGTAATCCTAAATTTAATTCAGATCTGTTGCACTCAAAGCACAGAAAAACGTTCATTCCTGAAAAGTTAGTTTATATTAAAAAGGTTTAATAGTTGCAAATTACTTTTACATAAGTAACACAAGACGTCTAATAAGCAAAATATTACATGGAGAAATTTTTAAAGTTTTTGAGCTTTATGTGATGATTTTTACACCCTATCAAATTTGCTTATTTTCGACAAATTCTAAAAAGACAGAATTTTTTTTCCTGAAAAATTGTTTGCTTTTCAGAGGAGACTAACAATGATATCGCGATTTATATCATAATATATATCATTTTGGCATAAGTCGTCTTGCCCTAAGGTCAAGAACCAAGCAAAGGCATTTCCACCCACACAGCTTGGCATTTTGCAATCTATGAACCCGGACGATATTATTGATAATATACATAAATTATTAGACAAAGATCCAACTATGCATTTATAAGAGACCCACATTGGAAATAATTATGCTTTAGCCATAGTTTTTAGCCATTGTGCCTGTATAACGGATAACCCATTTCACTTCAAGCAAGATATCCCATGTAGTAGCAAATTCTTAAAGAAGAACTACCTCTTAAAATTTTATAATTCATTTTTCCATTTAAACAACAAAATATAGACAGATAGGGCTTTTAGGACAGAAATTTTATTTAAAAGGAATACTAGGCTACTTCTAAGAATGGACATAAAATTCAAAGTCTGAAACATTGTCAATTAAAGAATATATTCATCAGTTGGACTAACGAGGTGCCAGGTGACTATTGACTAAATAAAGAATACTACCATTAATGTATCCATTAAGAAGGATGTATAGAGGGATTCTGTCGTAGAGTTTTGACACCAGGTAAGTCCCCTTAAGAACAAGCATAAGTTTTTAAATATTTGAATCGTTTGGTCATCCTAAAAGATAGTATACCTTTAACCTCATAAAAAACAAATTTGACTACCATTGTGACAAGTGATTTGGGTAGAAGTTTACTAGGTTATTAAATGACTTTATCCCTTCAATACCATCTGTTCAGTTTCAGAACGTTTTAGCCAATTTTATTACCTATTTTTTTCAAAGGCTTCTCGGTGTCTGAGTAGTGTAATCTATATATGTAATAGACTATGGCATCTCTATATCTCCTCTAAAAAATAGTCATTAATAATAAAATAATGAAACAATAAGAATTTATTTTACGTTGAATAATTTCTCTAGTGAAAGATGATGCATGTGAAATTGTGCTCAGACAGGGCTGTTGATTCGGTTGTATTTGCATGTCAGGTCTGGTGAACCTTTAAATGTAATATGACATGAAATTGATGTGGCTAATGCCTGTCTGCAATAATGATTGGTAACTTGTAGTTATTTCATGGTGTTAATGTGCACTTTATTGCTCTGATTTAATTTGTAATTAGGCCAATTCTGATTGAAGCCTAGTTGAAATGTTTCGCTACGACAGAAAATATTTTCTCAGTTTTTTTTGTGTATGTTTTCATATTTTTAATAATTATAATGAAAGATTGACTTGCATATTTCAAAAATACATTCATTAAAAATTTTGATTAATATTTTCAAAGAAATATTGTACAAAAATGTGACTCGGTTATTTCAAATAAACATTCTATAAAAAGTGTGATTTAAATATTCAAATAAACATTCTATAAAAAGTGTGATTTAAATATTCAAATAAACATTCTATAAAAAGTGTGATTTAAATATTCAAATAAATATTCTATAAAAAGTGTCATATAGATATATAGTTAATAACATTCTATAAAAGTGTGACTAAGGTTTTACAAATAAACAGTCTATGAAAGTGTGTCTCATATATTCAAGTAAACATTCAAAGAAAGTGTGTCTCAGACATTCAAATATACATTTAATGAAAGTGTTTGTCAGATATATAAAAATCATTTAATGAAAGTGTTTGTCAGATTTAATATACATTCAATGAAATTGTGTCTCAAATATTCAATGAAAGTGTTTCTCAGATATTCAAATAAACAGTCTATGAAAGTGTGTCTCAGATATTCAAATAAATATTCAATGAAAGTGCGTCTCAGATATTCAAATAAACATTCTTAGAAAGATTGACTCACAAATAAACCTTTTGTGTTTGACCCTATCCGTCTTTCGCGTTCAAGGAGTGTATGCTTACTCGTCTTGACACCTTATACCACTTTTCATTATGAAATACTTCCTCACTATAATGGTTGATATACTCCATAAGCTGCTACCAATCTTTCTCCAAAATGTTGTTTTGGATTTGGGGTTTCGTTTTGCGGTTTGGATAGTCAGTACTTGGTTTATTTACTGATAAACTTTTTGACCAAGTTTAAAATGAGTCAGTATTCCTTTAAGAATCTGCTACTGCATGGAATATCGCGCTGAAACTGAAATGGGTCATTTTAGTCTCCGTTATCCGGGTACAATTTCTGTGGTTTACAATATTCTCTGAAAACTATGGCAAAGGCATAATTATTTTCAATGTGGGCCTACTATTAATGCATAGTGTTTTTTTTTTTTTTTTGTTTAATAATTTATGTATATTACCAAGCGTATCGTCCAGGTTCATAGACTGCAAAATGCCAAGCTGTGTGGGTTGAAATGCCTTTGCTTGGTCCTTGACGAATAAATCTATTTTGTACAAGACACAAGGATTTTCATTTCGTGATAAAATGTACAAAATCTGCTGTAATTATTTTATTTTAATTTGAATAATATATCCAACTGTGAAACTTAAATTCAAATTATCAGAATAGAATGAATTTGAGATTTTATACTTAGCGGTAAATGAAATGATTAAAAGATGATTAAAAGATTTTTTGAAATACTCGGGGATTATATATTAACAAATAAAAGGATGTCCAGTTGACAAACCTTGTCGCATAGTTGTAACAGGTGTTTTGAAAGAGTAAGCATGTTATATTTCTCCATTCACTTCGGCCACAGAACTAATAACATTGGCTTTAAATTCATTATACTTTAAAACAGAAATAGAAATAATAAAACAGAACCTAAAAAACATTGTTGTTGTTATAACTCAGAGTTTCACGCTATGCTATCTTCAGACAATTGACCTACTTAAATATTATTAATTTATATTAAAACAAAATGTAGAATATTGCCAGGATATAGTTATCTTAAAGTGATACTACGTCTTAATATGAACATAAAATTTAATTCTCAAAAATGGTCAATATCAATATATATTCATCAGTGAAACTTACCTGGTGCCATAAAGTTACAACAGAATTCCTGTAAAATCTAGAAAATTAGAAAATTCATAAAACTTACTAATTATTGAAAAACGCTTAATCTTAATATTGAGCGTTTTTCAATAGTTAATTGCATTTTTATTAAGTTTTTTTTTGGATTTATCGGATTATATAAGGATCCTGTTATCTTATTTGTGGCACCAGGTATATCTATTGATGAATATATGCTCTTATTGGCCAAGTTTAAATTTTTCAAATTTTATGTTTATTCTAAGACGTAGTATCATGGCATTTTGATATCAGTAATAGTGTTCACAGCTCAG